ATGTATAGAAAAACTCTTATAAAAATTCAAGAATACGGAATTATCACAATTTATGGAATATCAATTTACAAATAAACATTTTACAACAATACTATAATCAATTGCAAAAATGTCAATTTTGAAATAATACGGCAGTCATTTGCACACGAATTTTACAATGTCTAAATATTCAAAACAGTAGAAAGAAATATCACAATTTTATTAAAAGCAGAAATATCACATTTATTTCTAACAATAAACAAGAAAAATAAATAAATTTATTTTTCTAATTTACAGCATTCAAAATTTCTAACATAGATAAAATATCACAATTTTTATTAAAAAGATTATTTTTCAAGATAATGAGGTCACGTGCGCATAAAATTTATCGCGCCTAAAATTCATGATAAAAAGCAGAAATAATTATTTCATTTTATTTTTTTAAAAAATGGATTATTTTTTGAGACAATGAGGTCACTTACACACAAAACTGATAAAATAAAGATCCTAGACGGAAATATCACTATTTATTAAAAATAGACTATTTTTCAGAAAGACGATGTCACTTACACACAAAACTTATAAAATAAAGATCCTGGACGGAAATATCACTATTTATTGAAAACAGACTATTTTTCAAGAAGACGATGTCACTTACACACAAAACTTATAAAATAAAGATCCTGGACGAAAATATCACTATTTATTGAAAACAGATTATTTTTCAAGAAGACGATGTCACTTACCCACAATTATTTGAGAGGGAGCTTCCGATAAAAAATTCGGTTCGAGAGAGAAGTTCACTGTGTTTTGACCAGAGAGAGAGATCTCAAAATTTTGTTTTAGGGTGGGAGTGCTCACATCCCCTATTTAAATTCTTCTAACGTATTATTATATTATTTTCTTACGCTATACCTCATACATGAGGTGTCGCGTTAAAAGCAGACTTTTATCGTACGAAAACCACGTCCGCTAAAGGACACTGCCAGCTGCAAGCAGCAGGAGGCAAAAGCAGGCAAAAAAAAAAAAGTAAAGGCAAAGCCAAAGTTAATCCAAAGCAAAAGTTTTTGAAAACAGTGATGGTCCTCAAGGACCATCATATTCAAACAGAACATCACCTATTTAAAAGCATATTTTCTCCTTACTTTCTTTTTTTTTTTTTCTTTTTTTTTTCTTTTTTTTTTTGTTTTGAAATTTTTAGGATTGTTACAATCTATAAACATATGAAAATATTGAAAATGGACGGTCTAGATAATATGTTGCAAGATGAACTATTTTTAGAACTCAAAAACTTTTTTTTTTCATATTCATATATCTGAATGTCGAGATGATCAATTAGAGGGTTTTTCAACATTAAAACAACCTTTGCGATAGATCGTTGAGGTGCATCTGTAATTCTACATTTGAAGGTTGCAACCTTATATAAACTTTTTCCTTATATTTATATTATAGATGGGTAGAAATGGCAAGAAGATATTGGGATATCAATTTTATATTAATAATATATACTCCTATTATATATTTCTATTATATATAAAAGATGAGAAATTATCCTATAAGACCCTCTCCCACCCATGTGTGTAGGACCTCAAAGGATCACCATTAAGTTTGGCACGAATCTCTAAACAAATAAAGTCTTACACCTATGTGATAATTATTCTAAGGATCCGTACCAAATTGAATGGAGATCATTTGGGATCCTACACACATAGATAGAGGAAAGTCCTATAGGATTATTACTCATAAAGGATATATGCTCTCTTTGTAGACAATCCATATACAAATATATTTGTACATTGTGACCTCCATGATAAATGGTCTTTTTTTTTGTTTGGTAGACAATCCGAAGGATGCAGTTTGTATAGAGCCGAGGCTCTAAACAATCCAAGTAAAACACATCTTTAAATAGTATCGTGAAATGTGGTTTCAATACTGTAAATTTTTATGATAGCCTTAAAATATATTTTAAACTTTATTTACAGCATTTAAAACTTTAAAAATAGTGTAGATTGAGCAGATATTGAAAATCTTGAAAATTGATGGTCAAAAAATGCGTTACAAGATACACTATTTTCAAAATTTGAAATCCATATTTTTCTCATGTTTATGCATCTAGATGTTGAGCTGTTTTAGGTGGTATCTAATTTGATTGTTTAGAGCTTTGGCTCTATATACACTTTTTCCTTTAGGTAATTTGTAGTTTTGTACCATGACATCAAGATTACAAAACTGCCCAATACGAGATTTTAATGAGAAACACCTATTTTCCCGGATTGAACTGGTAATGAGAAGGTGTACTTTCATAATTTGGTCGGGCCCGTTAAGCCGAATGATATAAATGACATGGCTTGTTCCAGTTTTTGTAACAAGCGGTTCTAATAAAATGGCATAATTCAGGTTTGGAATATAAGTTACTCGACTCTGGCCACTTTACAAAGATTTGAAAACCCTTTTTTATTGGTTATAGCATCGGATGTGGTTTGTATAAAGTTGTAACCTTAAACGATCAAATTAAGGGGCACCTCCAAATTTTACTATAAATATAATTTTGTTGTAAAAAATTGTTAGAATTGTTTAAAAAAATATTTTCATCCCTAATTATAGAAATTTAGACTCTAAAAATAGTTCAAATTAAGTAGATTTATAAACACATGAAAATCTTGAAAATTGAAGGTTCAGATGATTTATTGTAAAATACACAATTTTTTGGATTTAAAAATCTCTTTTTCTCTCCGTAATCATGACGACGTAGGGATATCAATTAAAGGGTGTTCCAACATCAAAACAAACTTTTTATGATGGATTTTTGTGGTGCACCTCAATTCTATATTTTAATGTTGAAACCTTATATAAATTTTTTTTCTGTAGCATATAAGTTGAAGAGGCTATATGCTTATATCCCAATATTTGGGGTCCTAAAAATGGAAAAGTTTTCTATATTTTCCTACAACATAGAAGTTATATCCTCTTTTTTATCCAACCGTCCATTTTTTAATGGAGGGCTAAGATTGCCCCAATCACAATGTCACGTCTCTACATTTGTTTTATTTTTAATTTTTTTTAGAAACTGTTTTGACACCAAATTTTAGACATCCATTATTTTATTAAACTCGTATTAATGAAAAAATATAAAAAAATTATTTTCAATAAAATAAAACGACCAAAATACCTCTGAAAGTTTAAAGAGGTATTTTGATAATTATTTTTTATCGAAAAATTATTGTTAATATTTTTTATAGGTACGTCCCAATGAGAAGATGACACATACTAAATTTCATATTAAAAAAATTAAAAATAAAACACTTGAAGACGTCAGATCTAATATCAAACTGTGAGTAGCTCTCTTGATAAAAAAAAAAAAAGACACCTGGATGGTAAAAAGGAGATAGAACTGGTATAGACCCTATGGGGGATCATATGAATTCCCTTAAAAATACCCGCATACTAGATTTTGCCCGAGGGAGTAAATAGACAGTATGCTCCCTTAGAAGCACATGCGTTGGACGTGCCGGGAAATCCTCAAACTCTGGTTTCCCGACCTTCGTCTTATCCTTTTCCCAGTTTTGCGGTTATAGCGATGCAGAACTGAGCGCTCTTTGTCTCTCTCTCAATATCGTTCACAATTCTTCTTCTTCTTCTTCTTCCTCTCTCTCTCTCTCTCTTATTTTTCTGATTAAATATTTCGACGATGAGGAGCATAACTATGGTACAAAAGCTGGGCAAGGTTCTAACAAACACGAGACGTTTCTCTTCGGCGAATTCCATCAGCTCTAAACCAATCAATCTCTTCTCTGCAATCAACCAGGCCCTTGATCTCGCTCTGGATACTGATCCTCGGTTTATTTACACAAAACTCACCTTACTTTCTCTTCAAGTTTGTTTAAGTTCTCATTTGTAGAGCCATAAAGCTATAATTTGCTGCAGTAAAAATTGTATTTCCTCTTTATCCTGCTTCGGAATTAAATGACTGTTTCTGGGTTTCACTGTAAAATTTGAGTGTTCAATTGAATTATTCATGAGAATATATATTACTTATCAGTGGAAAGATTAAGCAAGACAAATTGGGTGCTGCTGTTTAGTAACTTTAGTTCAATTATTGATTGATTTATGGGTTCATTTTGCGCGTATGTCTCCCACAGAATGATTTTACAGTTTTTACTTATTGTAGTTTTTATTAAACACCCAGAGTTCATTCGAAAAGGAATCCCCATTTCCTCGGTTCGATTAAGTTTGAGCTGGAAAAATGTAGTTCTTCGAAAATATTGTGGTGCTTCTTTTTGGTGAACTTATTTGCAAAAAAAGCCTGAGTTATTGTGCAACTCTCACAATGGGATAAGTTCCCATGTCCTCTCCGGTTTCATTGAGTATTGATCTGGTTCTTTCCGAAATATTATAGTTCTTCTTTTTGGTGAACATATTTCTCAAAAAAACCTTGAATATTGTGCAGCTCTTATATTTTTGGAGAAGATGTGCGCTTTGGTGGTGTCTTTCGTTGTACGATGGGTTTGGCTGATAAATATGGAAAACACAGGGTTTTCAACACCCCCCTTTGTGAGCAGGTGGTTATACCTCTTTCATGAGATTTGTTTACAAGTAATGTAGTGAGGTGGTTAATGGGCTATTGATTGTCCATTTGATATGTTTCTTAGAACTATAATATACTCTTATAGTCTATAACAAGATATCAATTTAGTTGATTTTCCATACCATGTTCATTCTAAGAATTATCAACTATTCAAATGATTTATTGATACCGTCCTAGTAAATTAACTCTCCTTAGAGTTGTTAGGATAGCTCAATTTCTTCGATGGTGACTTTCATGCCTATTTTGAATTTTCTGAATTTTCTTAAACATTTGCCAAAATATTCTTCATGGTTCTCTTTGAAGTAGAAGAACACTCTAATCAGGCTAAGTTCTTGATGATTTTAAAATGGGGAGTATATTTATGCTTGTAGTGGTTAATGTATCAGTATTGCTGATTTGTTTGTGGGGTCTCTATTCTACATGAATGGAAATATCTTTTTTTTAAATCTATTTTACTGATTTAATCTCTCAAAAAAAATCTATTTTACTGATTTAACTTAAGCAAACTATTTTTGCAAAGTTTATGAGGTGAAGATACACAGATACACAGACACGATGGTTAAGAGCTTTTTGGAATTGGGTATTTGCGACATATAATTTGGCAGTTAAACTCAAGACTGAAATTTTATTTATTTTTTGCATTTCTCTTGATCATTTTTGTCTCATGCCATTGAATAATTAGTAGACAAGAGTGAAAATTATAGAATATTTCTTTATGCAGGGGATCGTTGGATTTGGCATAGGATTGGCTGCCATGGTGAGGATGTGAGATTGGTATTCTTAGATTTATGACCACTCTTTTTTATCAATCTTTTTACAATCTACACATTCTTTTATTAGGGAAATCGGCATTTCTCTTGATTATTTTCATTCGAAGTATTTTATTATACTTAAACTCAGAATTCCATATGACATGAATTCTATACTTAACTTGGGATTTCATTATTCGTGTTCTAGGGAAATCGGGCTATAGCTGAAATTCAATTTGCAGATTATATCTTTCCGGCTTTCGATCAGGCATGTTTCCTCCCATATCCCTGAGTATGTGTATGTGTTCTACAAGGTTTTCCATATTTGTGTTATAATCCATGTTTCCAGAATGGTCATTGAACCTTCTTCCCAATGGCCACAATATTATAAATTAGTTAAAACAATATGAATGCTCTAAATTTGGGAAAGGTTATCGTTATGGAGGTGGACATGTTTTGTTAGCATTCTGCAGGTTGGGATATTGGAAGCATTGTGGTATTTAGAGTTGTAAAAATATCCTTTTAGCATATTATGTAATAGGTGCATTTTTGTTATTGGATTAGGTCTATGTTTTTGCTACTTTATTGCTTTTCTTTTTATTAACTAGATTAGGGGTGGGAGCCTAACTTTGCTTTCCTTCTAGGTTCGGCGTGGTGATAGAGCTAATACTGTTGGGGGGGAACAGTATATGGGCACATGATAAAACCATGGCTGCAGAACAGGGTTGGGACTGATAATAAAATATGATTTTAATATAATTATTACTGTCATTCTTAAGAGAAAATGATGAAAGTTCACTTGGACAAAACGATTCCCTTTGCCCTCATTGCTTCTCATGGGTGTGAAATTAGCCTGTGATTTATTACATCTCTCTTTTATGGATTTCCCATATACCAGGAGTGGAACTTCATTGAGTATTGTTGTCACATCAATAACCTGATTTTGGACAAAAGAACTTGGACGTAGCATTTGATACGTTTTATTTGATTCCTTTGCTATTGAGCTCTGAACCTGGGCTTCTGGCCAAATTTTGAATAATTCTCCCAATCTTTGACTTTCATGGATGTTTTTTAGAAACCCTAAATTTTGAATCGTTCTACCAACTGTGGAGTTTTACTTTTTTCAATTCAATTGTAATATTACTTTATAGATTGTCAATGAAGCCGCAAAGTTCAGATATCGAAGTGGAAATCAATTCAATTGTGGAGGTACATCTTTTCTGAATGATCCAATATTGGAAGTTGAATTTTGTTATGACATTTGACAAACTCTTTGATAATATAGATATTTTGTTATTTAGTCTTGCATCAAGCAATTGTGGCACTGTGAGTTGCATATGATTTCCTCAGGTTTAACAGTACGAGCTCCTTATGGAGCTGTTGGGCATGGTGGGCATTATCATTCACAGTCACCTGAGGCATTTTTCTGTCATGTCCCAGGTCTTAAGGTCATCGTCTTTTCTTTATATGTATAATCTTTCCATTTATGATATCAAAGAGATAATGCTTATCTATTTTTTCCTTGGATGAGTGGTATGAGATAATCATTAAATAACTCAAATCACTGAGTTACAATGCTAGAAGCAACAATATTGATCACTTCTTTCAAAACTAAAGGAATAGGGGACATATTGCTAGGCTTAAGTTCCAAATGAGATTTATTGATTTGTTTGCATTCAATTGTTGCATCTTTTCTTCTTCTTTTTCTCCCTTTTCTTAACAAAGGTTCCTTCTTGTTCCAGGTTGTCATTCCTCGTGGCCCAAAGCAAGCCAAAGGTTTGCTTTTGTCCTGTATACGTGATCCAAACCCCATTGTCTTTTTTGAACCCAAGGTACCTAGTTCTTTACATTTTGTTTTTTTTGCAATTCATTGAACTCCTCTATTTGCAACTGTCTCCTGACTGTGGCCATCTATTTTTTCGAAAGGTGCTTTCTTTTTTTAATTTTTTGCTTCTTATTTTGATAATGTTGTTTGATAACATGCATTTCATATCTAGTTTATTGTAATGGAAAATAGAGGAGTCATTCTATGCAGTTGTTAGTTACTCTGTGTCATCGTAATTTATTTGTTTGCTCATGCTAATTTACAGTGGTTGTATCGTTTGGCTGTAGAAGAAGTTCCTGAAGATGATTACATGTTCCCCCTTTCTCAAGCTGAGGTTTTGAATCGCCCACCACCATTATGTTTTCAGAAAATAAAGATTAGGAAATTATGCTATACTCAGTGAACTTGGAGTCTATAGGGTCATCTCCATCTAATGAAATGATGGTCGCTGATGGAGAAAGAGTGGGATCCACCATGACCTATTTTGGAGAGTCCTACTCTCACTCTCCATCAATTGTCCATCATATTCTTTGGGCAGTGATTGCCCCAGTGAACTATTACTTCCAAAGTCCTTTGAATTATAATCTCCCAAAAGATTATTAGTCTTTGTTAGTGGTTTCAAAAAGATTGCTACAGTTAGTACTCTAATCTAATGCCTTAACCAAAATGTATTCAGGTGATTCGTGAAGGCAGTGACATTACACTGGTGGGGTGGGGAGCTCAGCTTCAGGTTATGGAACAGGCATGTGTTGATGCTGCACAGGCATGTAGTTTCCACTAGAAACTGTACTGCGCCCTGTTATCATCCAGTGATCATGTTGTAGAATTGTTTCTAACAGCCTATTGTTTCTTGTTTATATTTAATTCAAGTATCACATATGGAATTGTTTCAAAAGCAATTCTTAGAATTCACGATAGATTTGCAGCAATCACTTATTCATTTAAGATTTAGGAAAATTCAAAAAAAAAAAGGTTAAAAACTCGGATATATATGAAAATGGTGAGATTTTTAATTGAGAAAAAAATCTAAATTTTGGATTTGACTCCCACCTGAAATTGTTGAGTTTAAAATTCCGAGCCTTACTTAATAAACATTAGTATGTTTTAGGATGGACATGTTCTATATCCCTTAAAACCGAATCGTGCTCTTGGATTTTCTTTTCCAAGGTCATGTTCTGTTGTTAAAATAAAAATGAGTATTGATTCATGAAATTAGAATAAAAAAATGTGAGGATGATATGCTTGCAAAAATTAAAGAATGGAAATTATGGTTGCTGCTGAAAGTTAGGCTAGCATGGTGTGAACTGCTAAACCAGCAACTGTAGCACTCAGCTGGCCGATGGTTGGCATTGTATACTATGAACTGAGCTAAATGAAGTATAGGCCATATCAGAGTAATTTATGTTGATTCCATTACCCGCAATTACAGTCATTGTTTCATAATGATCATTGTAACCTCATCTCCTATGGGAGAAACTTTACAGGAGGGAATCTCTTGTGAGCTTATAGATTTAAGAACTTTAGTACCTTGGGACAAAGAAACAGTAGAAGCATCTGTCCGGAAGACTGGGAGACTTCTTGTAAGTTGATTTGTTTTCCTTTAAATAAGATTTATACTATGTTAAATGCAATTATCTTTTTACTAATACCTTTCGAGGATCCCTACTGATCTCTTATCTGTTGTTAATTGGCAGGTTAGCCATGAAGCCCCAATAACAGGGGGGTTTGGTGCTGAGATATCAGCTTCTATTGTGGAACGATGCTTCTTAAGGGTAAAATCAATGTCTGATTTTGTATGATGCTTTTGTGTGTGAACTTGTGCCTGCAATTGTGTGATTTCTGATCTGGTCGTTTTCCTATCCAAAAGAGAGGGTTTCTTGTGTGTTCATGTGCGTACATGTGATTTCTGATCTGGTCATTTTTCTATTCCAAAAAGAGGTTTTCTTTCCTATTCGGTTCATGCTTTGCTTTTAATAGGTGCATACCTTCTTCACTTTTTTTAAGTGACAAAAAGTGGCCTTGATTTCATTGACATGGTTAACCTCTTCCTGTCTTCTGGAAAGGTCCACCCCCGACCCCCGCGAGTAATTTATTAATCATGATGGAATTACTTGCAATTTGATGAACTCTTCTAATTTTTATTACTAATCACGTGGTCTTAGTATACGATATTTATACTAAACTAGGTGCAGAACTTTTTGCCACATACTAAAGCTTTATACATATGTACTGGGGTTTTGCAGTTAGAAGCTCCAATAGCGAGAGTTTGTGGCCTCGACACTCCTTTCCCTCTGGTATTTGAACCCTTTTATATGCCAACCAAGAACAAGGTTCGTTGGAAGGAGCTTCTGTTGAGTATTTGTCAATTAATACATTCTAAGTCATGCTTTGAATCTTGGTAAAATATATTAGCTTCTCCTTTCTATCATGTACTTAGTGCTATATTGCTAGGTAAATGTATCATGATATGAATACTTAATAATCCAGATAAATAAGTCCTTTCTGTTATTATCACATCTCGTTGTCACTACAAAACGAATCCCTACAATAGCAAAAATGGCAGTGTTGCAAAAGATTAAACAAAACCCTCACTTGCCTAGGATGAACAAAATCTAGAAATCATTATCAGTAGCTTGCAAAATCAAGACGAGAACAGAAATAAATGAATTTGAAACACAAATGAACGTCGTTTTCTCAAAAAAGAAGTATGTAATTTCCATGATAAAATTGAAGGATAATTACACAATGATCATTTACATTCTTAGTTACAATAAATTCTGATAAACACACTAAAGTTACTTTTTCTGATGATATCCTGAATTCCTGATAACATAATTTGTCTCTAATCGAAAACATATTTTCTCTTTCATGCAGATCTTGGATGCAATCAAGGCCACTGTTAACTACTAGCTGCGAGTTAACTATTGTTGAATTAACTCAAGGGTTAGAGGTCGTAAACTCCCCTATCATCCATGAGAAGTAACAGTGCTTATGTATATCTGTTATTTGAAAATCATAATAAAAGTCCTTTGAAGGCAGCCTGTGGGTTGTGACTTTTAAATATTTCTCTTTGTTTCAGAGTTTACTCTCAAAGCTTATGGGTTTCTTTTTAGTTATTATGCATAGGGAAATTAATGAAATGTCATTGATTTCATAATATAGTATTGAAAGCAACCCCTTTTCTTTATTAGGATAAAATGGCATTCAAAATAATTCCAAAGTCCACCAAAGTCAGTATTTATTTCCTTACCCTATTGGTGATAACAGAAGGGTTACTTGAAGAGGGGGGGGGGGTGGGGGAAAGGGAAAAGAGAGAGAGAGAAGAGAAAAATTTTAAAAAAATCAAATGAGACAAGAAATACGCATGAGATGAGTCTATATTTAAACAAGGATGATCTTTTTTTTACCACAAATTTATGTCATTGTTACGAAAGAACAGGTACTAAACTTCATTGGCCTTTGGAGATCACTACTCTGCCTCTCTCCATGGTGAGTATTGGGGAAACTATACAGTTAGACTCTATACTTTGGTACAAAAAAGTCGCATTTCCCCCCTTACTGTAAGATTTTGAAATATGTGGCTGGTGTACTCTTGATTGTGCTCAAAGTTTGAGAAAATAATCCATAAGAGTACTATGGAAAGATGACACACACCAGCCATCCGATCTTGAGGTGTTTGGGGCATTTTTGCAAGGAAGGTAACAGTCTCATTGTATTTAATCCCTTAAATGCTTCATTCATAACATTTCTATCTGTTAATCAGATTGTCAAAAAAAGTATTTCTTCATTTTTGATGCGGGTATTTCTACGAGGTGATGTCTGAAACTTATCAACATAACTAAAAGATTACCCAAATATTGTCATAAATTGCAAATCTGACACCAGAAAACCCTTAAATAGATCACCTCACCTTGACAAGGATATGCAGAAAAAAAATAAACAAATTCAAGAACTTAAATTAATATTTCTTGTACTACTTTATTTGGATTGTTCATTTCCAGGTGTTCATAGTATTGGCAATTCTGCACTGCCTTTAAAGCTCAAAATTCGTAAATCTTGAGTGAAAATAATTTTTAGTCCATCATAAAGGTCTGCTGTGCTGGTACATTTTCCAAGGGAGTTTGTGCAGGAACTGCATACTCCATCTACTGTGCTGGTACTTTCTCCAATGGAGTTCTAAAGTGTGGGAACTGCATTTTCCATTGGGGTTAAGGTGCTGCGGGCTTGCGCCCCCTTGTGTAAAAGACAAACCAACGAGGGAGGAAGCTTACTCATTATACTAGGCCCTTTACTATCTCAGTAGGCTCAGCTCACTCTCTCTCTAGTCTCTATGAAGTTTCTCTCAAGACTTGGTATCACGCACCATCACATGTTAATGGCAGACTTCTATATCATGTCATTCATCAATTCAAAATCCAAAATCCAAAAAAGGAAAAAAGAAAATTGCAAGTAAAGTCGCAGCGTAGCCATTTCCTGGTTGCATCGGATGGCTGATGTGATGTTTGTTTTTTCTATGTTTCTTTTTTTTGAATGTTTGTTTTTTCTTTGTTTCTTTTTTTTGAATGTTAACAGTAAATTTTATTAACTAAAGCTTCCTAGAAATCGAGTAAGATTTACAAGTTAAAAATTAAACAAAAGTTGCCTAAACAAAATACTAAATGCTATGTACACTCCTGTTTCTAAAAATGAGTTTTGCTGAAGTTCTTGCTTCACCTTCTCTCTTTTCTTGCTTCACCTTCTCTCTTTCTTCGCCCTTTTGTGTGTGTGAGTGATTATCCCCATTCTTATGATGTTTGTGGTTCCCCTTCATTCAAAATAATCTCCGGAGCATCCTTCTGGTCTCTGCCTTGGCCAACTCATCAGCCTGCCGATTCCTTTTTCTATGTATCCATCAAAACCTTGGCTTGCTCTTTCGCAGATTTTCAACGGTTCAGGGCCCGCAAAGATTTTCAGCGGAGTGCCATCCACTTCACTTCTAACCACATCCAGGATCAGAGTCGACAGCTAAGGAACCTTATGGATATTTGTACACCAGTTGATTGCAGTGCCGAGTCGCCCTCTATCGATTGCCTTTCTTTGCAGTGGGGAAATACATAAAACTCCTTGCCTGAGGGACTCAACACTGCTCCATTGGGCTGAGGTTGCTTGGATGGCCTCAAGAAAGTCAAAGAGTATCCCCGCTTTCGTCCTGAAACAAACCGACTACATGACCCATGCTTGTATTTGCTTTTACACACTATCAAAACTAACCTGGATCTGACCCTGCAGAGGTGGTAGCCAAGTGTTTGGCTTTTGAAACTTATTGCCCCCCTTTGTGCCACATGGTTCATGTTAGTAGTAGAATCTTTATTTTCCACTCCCTTGAACTGCTTTCTTGCCATGTCCCAAGTATCAATGCTTGTTCATATCTTCCACCTGACATAGCTCCACTCATTAACAATTTCATGACATGCCCTGCTGTTTCCTTTTCTAGGAATGTGCTAAAAGGAGTGATTAAAGGTTGTTGTGATGACAATTCTCTGCAGCGATAACCTATTTTGGAGGATGGTGGAGAAAACCACCTCTCCATAAACAGCCTTACTGGATGTGACAGCCCAATTTACTTCGCCTTTTATCCAGTCCCACGAAGGCCTTGTGAATGAACAGTGAAGGTACATAGGGTCATTTGTTTCCTCATTGTTTGTATAGAAGGAACGTATATATATGGGCCGATCTGTCAATTCTAATCAAACATATGGATATCTCACTGTGAACACACCTTAAGGTGTTAAATCCTAAATGACCGAATCGACAACTTGTTGGTGAGTAGAAAACAAGGCTTAGATTTTCAAGTGGCTCCATGTATTGATCTCTTGTAACATCTATAACTCTCAGATGTTTCCACCTAGTGTTTCTTCCCTGCACCTGAAACAAACTCTTTCAATTTTATGCTGCACTTTTGATGGCATGTTCCTAGCCATTTTCAAGCCCAAGACGTAATCTTTGCTCCATCACCAACTTGCATTCTACTGTTTCAGATAACTAGGGTTTTACAATAATCATCATCTTTTCAGATGGTGGAGGAAGAGTATCTTGAAGTGAGCTTCTGTATAATGCACTTATCCATGTCTAGCTCATACTTGGATTGGAGCATTGTCCTCCACTGCTGGGATTGGTTTGAAGCCACTCTCTTATTATGAGAACGTGTTTGATGCGTCAAGGAACTCATGAGTCTCTTAAGCATCAAACATCCAGCTTTAAAATGGATCGTAGAAAAGGGAGCTCAACTAAGCTTAAGACCAACAATGCAAAAAAGAAACAAAAAATGTCACTTTCAAAGTTCAAAATGTATCATTTTTTCATATTCATCGTGCCAGTGTTCTAGATTATGTATCCGTGAAAATTTGGATCCAAAGTCTCATCCCTGGAGGGATTTTGGAGAGAGGACTCACACAGATGAGTTAGCATATTCATATGTACTGTGATGTTATTTATTTGTGGTACAAGAAGAAAATTATTATTAACTATTAGATGTGATATTTTTATATGGATGGGGTTTTTATGAGTCAGTGGATTCATATGTACACGTGCGGCTTTTCTCTAAAATTCATCTTAAATATGGATTTTTTATCTAAAATTTAAGGAATTCATCATCTAAACGAAGGTGATATAAAAAAAAAAATCATAATGATTAAATTTTAAAAAGTGCTTTTTTGAGATGTTTTTGGTACTATCCATATCTGATTTGACCTGTTGCAACCACTACTAGCTATTTCCTTTTTATATTATGGGATTGTTTAGAAAGAGACCATTTATCTAGGGTTGTCTAAAAAGTCGGAGTCAAAGACAGGGCAAACGATTTATATACAGGCACCACCCTCAACAAAGAAACCAACCCATCTCTCTCCCTCTCTTGGCTCACCGGTTACACCAGGGACATCTCTCGCTCCTAACGTCTTCTCTTCCAGTCATACAAGTAGCACTCTAATCTCTTTTTGAAACCTCCCTCTCTCTCTCTC